GGAGGCTAAAAAACTGTGAGCTAGCTCACACTAACTCAGCTTAGAGGGAATACTGGTGGCAAGGTATTAGGGATGCCAGCCTCCAGGTAGGGCCTGGGGATCCCCCTCCCCAGGATTACAGCCTATCTCCAGACGACAGAGATCAGTTCTCCTGGAGAAAATGGATGCTTTGGAGGGTGGTCTCTATATGGCCTTGTACCCCACCGAGGTCCCTGTCCTCCCCACGACCCACCCTCAAATCTCCAGGAGTTTCCCCAACCTGGCTCCGGTAATCCTACCCCCTCCATCCCCAGCCAGTGGCCAGAGGATTCACTGCTCGCTTCTTCAGAGTTGGCTCTTTCCCCTTGCTTTAAAGCCCGTAGCAAAGTTACTGAAACTGGAGGCCCATGGCGTTCTGAAGACTAAATAAGTTTAGCCTTTAACGTAGCCTCAGAGTCACGTCTTCAAACGTGGCCGGACTCGTGTTTACCTTGGCTGGGAACGAGTAACGCGACTCTCCCTTTGCATCTATTTATTCCAACAGCAAGCCGTACTCCTCGGGTGCAATATAACGCTCTGGTCGCTGCGGGGCGGCAGAGAGCATCCTCTGTCACCCGGCCGCGCCCCTCCTCCCGAGCCTGTTGAAAGAAAGCGCAAGTGGCAGAAACACGTCCAAACAAGAACCTCGTGGCGCACCGTAGAGAAGCGTCTTCTTAGTGACTGCAGTCGCCGGGGCCGAGTGAGGCGCTTTCCCGCGGTCGTCATGGCAGCCGATTCGCCTTCGCTCCTCGCCGCCTCCGGGAGCCGATTCGTTGTAGTGGGAGGGGGGATCGCGGGGGTGACGTGCGCCGAGAGGGTAAAGTATCGCTTTCCCCCTCAAACTGCGGGATTGTGTGGTTGTGCGCATGCGCGGCTACCAAGTACCTGATGTGCAGAGGGGCTTGATTCTGTGCGCATGCGCGGCTTAAGCCCCCTGCTTTTGAATTTTCGTAGGATTGCAGAGGGAATGGGAAATGTCGCTTACTCAGGGTTACCAGATGCCCTCTCTTTTTTTGTGTGTGTGTGTCTGTCCTTTTTTGGGCTCTTTTAAAAAAAATCATGAAAATGTCCTATTTTGGGGTTGGAAGGTTAGGAATATTCCTAGTTAGTAGCAATGATCACAACTTAAAACTTGTTTGAAGTAGTCAGTCGGGAAATAGGTCCTCTTTTTTTGCTTTTCAAAATATGGTAATCCCAGCTCACTGCAATAAAAGAAAATGGGAGGGCTCCTGTTGATTTAGGCTTTGGGAAACGAGTCATTTTAAATTACCAATGAATGAAAGAGCGGAGCAGCCACTGCTGTTGACTGAGAGCGGTCAGCTGTGCTAAGTGGCTGGTCCACATTGAGGACAAGTCCCGTGTGGCAGGATCCATGCAGAGGCCCAGTCACAAGAGATGGAAGCTGCTTTTGACCCTAGTCGGGAACTTGCATGTGGTTTAGATTTTGGCTTTTGGTGGGTATCAGCTGTAGAGATGATATATAACTAGGGTTGCCAACCTTCAGGTAGGGGCTGGAGATCTCCTGGAATTACAACTTATCTCCAGACTATGTAGATCATTTATTTATTTAAAACATTTATTGCACTTCTCTTGGTGGAAATGGCTGCTTTGGGAGTTTGGCAATGTACCCTACTGAGTTCCCTACCCCTCCCTCCCCCCCAAAAAAACCCCCACCCTCTCAGGCTTCATTTCCAACTCTTCAAGTATTTCCAGACCTGGACTTGGCAACTCAAGATATATAACATTGATGCTTACAACCCTTCACTGGTTACCGGTTGGTTCCCAGTTGTATTTCGATTGTTTGTTTGTTTTTGTCAACTGCCCCCTGAACCTCGAAGATGAGAGCAAAAGAGCAGTTCTGCTGGATCAGCCCAACAATCTGGCCCCGCAGTCTGTTTCAGTTTGTGGCCAACCAAATATGGCCACGTTGAAGATCTATACGAGAGCATAATGATACTGGCTGTTACAGTTTCTAGTCATCCCTAACACAGGTTTGCCTTTTCACTGCTGCCCTGTACTGCAACAACCGCTTTCATGAGCAGTCCACCGTGACCCCAAGATCTCTTTGCTGGTCAGTCACTGCCGGTTTAGACCCTGTCAACCAGTGACATGCTAAGTACATTTGCCTGGGACTAAGCCCCACTGAGTAGATCCGAGTAGTCAGGGCTATTTTGGGGCAGGAACGCACAGGAACGGAGTTCCGGCTGGCTCCCGAGTTGGCCACGCCCAGCAGGAACTCATTAGCATAATAGGCCACACCCAACAGCAGAAACTCATTAGGATTGGCTACATTAGGGGTGTGTGGCCTAACATGCAAAGGGTTCCTGCTACAAAAAAAGCCCTGGGTTTCGACAACAAACAAAGTAAATAGAATAAGAAGCAAAAGGTGGTATGTGTGGCCTAATATGCTAATGAGTTTCTGCTGTTGGGTATGGCCTATTATGCTAATAAGTTCCTGCTGGGCTTTTTCTACAGAAAAAGCCTTGCGAGTAGTACCTCCTTTGCATAGCTCTGGACCAGTGTTCCCTCTGACTGGGTGTGAGCCAGCTCACAGATTCTTAGCCTCCGGCTCACCCATTTTTGTCTTGGCTCAGGAAGGAGGGCTCCAGAGCAAACTGATTTATGCAGCAGCCAAAACACTCGCTCACAACTTTAATGCCAGCAGCTCACAAAGGAGAATTTTTGCTCACAAGACTCCACAGCTTAGAGGGAGCCTTGCTCTGGACATATTTTAAAGTCAGGGTTATTTTTTGCCACATTTCACACCAGGAGCCCCCAGTGTGGTGCCTGTGAGTGCCATGGCGCCCGCTAACACCTGTCTCTGGTGTCAGCCAAGCATTTCTAGAAAGTGAGCAGGGCCAGGTAGCGTCTCTGCCAAGCAAGACTTCTGACTGGCCGCTGGCAATTTGCTTAGCTATCCAGGGTTTTTTCCCCATGTTGCTTTGGCAGCAGTTCATTTCACACCAGGAGCCCCCAGTGTGGTGCCTTGTGGGTGCCATTAACACCTGTCTCTGGTGTCAGCCAAGTGTTTTTAGAACGTGAGCAGGGCCAGGTGGCGTCTCTGCCAAGCAAGGCTTCTGACTGGCCGCTGGCGATTTGCTTAGCTATCCAGGGTTTTTTCCCCATGTTGCTTTGGCAGCAGTTACCCCCACAGAAGAGATTGGATTTGTACCCTGCCCTTCATTACCCGAAGGTGTCACAGAGCGACTTATAATCGCCTTCCCTCCCTCTCCCCACAACAGACACCCTATGAGGAAGGTGGGGCTGAGAGAGCTCTGAGAGAACTGCTCTGGAGTGAACAGCTCTGAGAGAACTGTGACTGACCCAAGGTCGCCCAGCTGGCTGCAGGTGGAGGAACAGAGACTCAAACCCAGTTCCCCAGAGTAGAGTCCACCACTCTTAGCCACAACACCAAACTGGCCCTCGGTAGACTGTCTCACAGTATAAGGATCTTCACTGTGTGACTGAAGGTAAGCTGGGGCATCCATTTTGTAGCTGGCTCCACCTCCTGCAGCAGCCATTTTGGCACCCATTTTGTGGCGGCACTCACCGTGCTGTGTCCAAATTCCAAAGGTGCCTGCAGGCTCTTAAAAGGCTGGGGGCCCCTGTTTTGCACTTACACTGAGCCTCACGTGCCCTATTGCTCTCCACTTCACACTCCACTTTGGTTCTTCACCATCCCGAATAATTTGGTGCCATCCTTAAACACAAGCGGAGGAGAGGAGGACAATGTTAACGAGGCTTTGGGTCCCTGTCGGAGGGAAAGGCGGGGTAGGAATGAAGTAAAGAAATAAAACTCGGCCAGCGTGCTGCTCACCCCCGGTGCCGTATCATTTATGGGCAAATTAAATAGCCGCCGTCCCAATACCAATCATTGTGGGAAATGCTTAATTGTGATGGAAGAGCTGTCTTCTTGACTCTCCGCTTTCCGTCCTTTAACCTGTCTCTAACCCCCAAGCAGGAGCTGCGGTGGCTCAAGGGGTTAAGACGCTGAACTGCAGGCTGTGGAAGGTCGGTAGTTCAGCAGTTCGAGACCCGAGTGTGCCGCATGACAGAGTGAACTCCCGTCTCTGGCCCTGGCTCCTGCCAACCTAGCAGTTCGAAAGCAAAAAATTGCAAGTACATAAATAGGTACCACTTTGGTGGGAAGGTAACAGCGTTCTGTGCGCCTTGGTGTTTAGTCATGCCAGCCAGATGACCACGGAAACGTCTTCGGACAGCGCTGGCTCTTCGGCTTTGAAACGGAGATGAGCACCGCAACCCTAGAGTCGGACTCGACTGGCTCTTGAGCAAGGGAACCTTTACCTTTTTAACCCCCAAGCGGATCCATTCTTTTAAGCGTGGCAGAGTACCAAACATCAAGAAAATTAATGAGTTTAAAGTATGTGCCTTGAAAGTCAGCATAGTGTAGTGGTTAAGAGTGGTGAACTAGGATATGGAAGACCTGGTTTTGAATCCCCCCTCTGCCATCGGGCTAGTCTCACTCTCTCAGCCTAACCTACCTCACAGGGTGGTTGTGAGGATAAAATAGAGGAGAGGAGAACAATGTAAGCCGCTTTGTGTCCCCATTGGGGAGAAGGGCAGGTTATAAATGAAGTAATAATAAAGAGGTTGTTGTTTGTTTGGGCAGTATTCCTTCTTGAAACATGTCTTGCTAGGATTGCCAAGTCCTACCTTTGTAATAGCGGGGGGAGTCCCGGACGTCCCCGGGACAATCACGTCACCCGGAAGTGACGCAATTGCATCGCGCATGTTGGGGGCGGGGCCACAATCATCTGAGGTGTGAAACCATAGAGTTTTCCCTCGGATGATAGAGCGTCCCCCCGCAACGTGCCCAACGCGATTGCATCACCTCTGGGTGATGTGTTCACGCCGGGCACGTCATGCGCTTTGGTGGTGGGGTGTCCCCCCCCCCAGCGGCCCAATCCCCGGCGGCGGGGAACGGGCCTCTCGGGCGGGAGTTTCCCCACCCCCCCGGGGGGACTTGGCAACCCTATGTCTTGCCCTCAAGTGGTAGCTCCAGACAGGTAGCTGTGTTGGTTTGTAGCAGGAGAATGAAACTGGAACCAGCATCTCCTTTGAAGACTGACATTTATTCTAGCAGAGCTGAAGAAGTGAGGTCTAGCTCACAAAAATGTGTGCGGGAATACATTTTGACGGTCTAAAACAGGGGGTTTCAACCTTTTTGAGTCCCTGGGTACCTTTGGAATTCTGGTCCCTCACAAAGTGATGGTCACAAAATGGCTGCCGCAGGAGGCAGAGCGAGCCACAAAATGGCTGCCACCGCTTAACTTCGATCACACAGTGAAGATGCTTGTGCCGTGGTGGCAGCTGCTGCCAAAGCAACGTTAAAAAAGCAGCAGCAACTACACAGCTGATCAGAAGCCTTGCTGGGCAAAAGGCCTACGTGACACCTCTCACTTTCTAAAAACACTCGGCAGGCACCAGGAAAGGTCTCAGCAGGCGTTGTGGCACCCCTGGGCACCACGTTGAGGACCCCAGGATATAAGGTACCACTAGGCTTCCCAAGTCCCCCCGGGGAGCGGGGAAACCCCCGCCCCAGAGGCCCGTTCTCAGCCACTGGCAGATCGGGCCCCGGGGGGAACCCCACCCCGGTGTGCGCGTCACCAGAAAGTGTCGTTATGACGTCGGGCACGCTGGGGGCGGGGCCACGGTCATCCGTGGGAAAACTATGGTTTTCCCTGGGATGGTCGTGGCAGCGTGCCCGGCGTCATAACGTCACTTCCTGGTGACGTGCATGCGGCGTGCTCCAGCCGCGGACCAGGAGTCCCCCGGTAAGTACATTTTTTGACTTGGGAACCCTGGGTACCACTGGACTCCTGCTTTATTCTGTCTGCAAGTGGTTTTGTTCACACATGACTCTCTTCCTCATCAAGGAATTGTCGAAGTGTCTGGAAGAACACTGATGTGTGGGGCATAAAACATCACTGAAAAATAATCTCAATTTCTCCCCCTCTTTCTTTTACAAGCTGGCTACAGAGTTTCCCTCTGAGGATATTTTACTGATTACAGCATCTCCGGTTATAAAAAAAGTAATAAACTTCAGACAGGTGAGCGGGATGGGTTCTGACTCTTGGAGGTTTCGGGTGCAGGTTTTCCAGGTCTGTGTAGCTCACGCCAGCCATGATTTTTAGGAACACCGTGGGTGGGAGGCCCGAGTAATATTCTCTGTACTTCTGCGATGCTGTGTTTTGTTCACTGGGGATGTGGGTTTCCAAACTAGCAGTAAATATTCTTGAGTGATATAGGCAGGGCAAGGATGGGAATAAGAGGCAAAATGGCGGTGAGCGTTCTCTGTAAGTATTGCTATTAAATCAGTGGTTCTGTGACACAATGTTTTACTTTCCAGCATTAGTTCATAGCATCTTGGGAAGCTGAAAGAATCTCCGGTAGTGGAGACTTCAGCTAGGATGACTCAGATTACTGCTGTTCAGAATTATAAAAGAGACCCATGATCAGTGTTCCCTCTAAGCTGAGTTAGTGTGAGTTAGCTCACAGTTTTTCAGCCTCTGGCTCACACATTTTTGTCTGAGCTCAGGAAGGAGGGCTCCAGAGCAAACTAACTTATGCAGCAGCCAAATCGCTCGCTCACAAGTTTAATGGCAGGAGCTCACAAAGTAGAATTTGTGCTCACAAGACTCCACAGTTTAGAGGGAACATTGCACATGATAATAATAATAATATTTAATTGTTGTGTGGGCAGGGTTCACGCGATGCAAAGACGACAGGACACAAAGGGGCTGCTGAAGCGGTCTGAGGTTTTTCACTCCCCAGCGTTTTATTTTATATCTTTCTTCCCCCTTCTCCCTCCCTCTTCCTCCATAAGGGAAAATTACAGGCCTACGTTCAGAGCTTGGAATGTGTTGATTCCAAGCTCACAGCTCCTTATCTCCTTCACAGCTGCCAAGGCCAAATTGACTGCATCATGTAGGCAGTCACCAGACGTCTACGCACAGACTTACTAGTTCCCAATTTCCAGGCCAGGAGAATAGTGAATCCATCTGCACTGCTTTCCTACAATTAATAATTTCCGTATGGCAGTATGTGTAGAGTAGCCAGGAGATCCTACAATTGTCTGGCAACCAGAAGTTCTAGCTCTTTAGCGTTATGCACCACTAGGTGGCGAGCTAGACTTGTTTTTGAGGCAAGAGACGTTTCTGAGGTGGTTTGCCATTGCCCGCCTCTGCTTCACAACCTTGGTTTTCTTTGGGAGTCGCCCTTCCAAATACTAGGCCAAGGCCGATCCTGCTTAGCTTCCAAGATCTGAATCCAATTCAAATCCAGTGAATGGATTGTGGGTGCCTGATGGGTACAGGTGAAAGAGTACAAGTTTTGCCTGCAGAAGGTCTTGGGTCCAGTGGACAGTGTCTCCAGGTAACTGGTCTCCAGGACCAGGAGCAGCCTGTGGCTGGGTCTTTGGAGAGATGCTCAGGGTGGACATGTTTTTCTGAGCTTCTTTGAGCCAGGAGGAAAGATGGGGTAGAAATGAATAAATGGAATAAAGGCATCAACGGTCTGCAAATATGAAGCAGATTCCCAACAGATATGAGGCAGATACATAACAGTGTCAGGTGTGGGCCTGAACCCGCCCTTAGTGAGGGAGCCAGTTTGGTGTAGTGGTTAAGTGCGCAAACTCTAATCTGGGAGAACCGGGTTTGATTCCCCACTTCTCCACTTGCAGCTGCTGGATGACCCTGAGCAAGCCGTAGTTCTTCCAGAGCTGTTCTTAGTTCTCTCAGAGCTCCCTCAGCCCCACCTATCTCACAGGGTGTCTGTTGTTGGGAGGGGAAGGGAAAGGAGTTTGTAAGCCGCTCTGAGATTCCTTTGGGTAGTGAAGGGCGGGGTATAAATCCAATCTCTTCTTAGCGGCAGACCACAGGGAGGTCCATTTAAGATGCTCTTCCCTTATCAAAAAAAGAAACACCTGGATATAAATGTGTGCATTTGTTGCCCATATAATGATGCCAATTCACACAATCTTGTCAGCAGCCTGCTAATTCCCAAGGCAGTGGTGTTTTTGCCCACCTGCCCCCGCAACCTCCCTGACTTCTGTGTTGTTTTTTAATGTATTATGCATAAAGCATGGAGTTATATGTGGCAAATACACAGCTATAGCTTCAGTGGGTTTTGTACTGAAATGTTTTGTACTGAAATGTTTTGTACTGAAATGATCACCCCTGAAGTGATCATGTTGTTTTCCTTACCAGATTTCCAGAGCTTTAGAAGAATTTGACGTTGAGGAACAAGCAAGCAGCGTGTTGGAGAGATGCTACCCTAACATTAAAGTTATCCAGTCTGGAGTGAAACAATTGAAAAGCGATGAGCATGTAAGAGAACCTTGTATTCTTTTGCCTCGATGTGGAACGTGAAATGTTCAAAGGGCAGGTTGAGGAGAGAGAGGAGTGAAAGACTCCTGTTGAACACTGTTGGTTTACCCTGAAGTAGTTATATTAAATGTATGTGTTACCTTGCTCCTCTTAGCAGGGTAGCCCTATGAAGAATGACTGTGAGCTTATTGAAACCGATAGGTCACTTAGCATAATGCTACGCTATCAACCTTCTTTCATCTATGTCACCCAAATCTGAGCAGCTTTTTTTTTTCCAACGAAGGCATGAAGTGCCATTGATGGACACAGCATTTTATAGAGTTAGCTAAGCAAGAACAGGTGGGTTCCTGCCCCCAGAGAGCTTCCAGTCTATAAGAGACAATGGGCAAAACCACAGTGGTAAGCAATGTTCCCTCTAAGCTGTGGAGCCCTGTGAGCAAAAATTCTTCTTTGTGAGCTACTGGCATTAAAGTTGTGAGCGAGCAGTTTGGCTCCTGCATAAATGAGTCTGCTCTGGAGCCATCCTTCCTGAGCGAAGACGAAAATGTGTGAACCGGGAAGAGAAATACAGCAGGTAAAATCTTTCCGGTATTTGGGAGTGCTATTTTGTTACAATCTTAGCTGGTGTTTGCATAGAGAACACTCCTTGGTTATGGCTAAGAATAAGGCTGCAGCCCTGATTCGGTTTTTTTTCTACAAGGGCAACCAATTTGTCCCGGCTGTGCTTAAGATGTTCCAAGCGGCTGTTATATCTCGTCTGCTATACGGGATTTCTATCTGGATTCAGTCTTTTACTAGGAGAGTTGAGAGCATCTACTCCACTTTTCTGCGCAGGATTCTTGGTGTTTCCAACTCAGTGTCACTTTTTGCCCTTTATAAGGAGCTGGGTCTCCACTTGATAGAATCTCGGGCTTGGATCATTACAATCAAATATTGGCTTCGGCTCCATTTTCGATCTCCTCCTGCTAGCCTAATGGTCCAACTTTTAGCTGACCCTTATACATCAGAGTGGTCACAGGCCATAGTGAAAAAGGTGGGTACCCTAGGTATTGATCTGGAACCCCTCTATAACTGTGGTGAGGTAGCAATCTTGCAGGTGGTAAGGAGGAGAATTTGGGATATAGAGGCACAGATCATTAATGCCGGTAGTCTTGGAGTTTGTTCTCCCTATTAATTATTACCCCTCCCCTTGCATACCTCCTCCATGGTACCATATATTGCTAATTTGACAACTCCAGTTTTTAGGAGGGTTTTTATGCTTGCAAGGTTCAACCTTTTCCCCTCAGTAGTGGTTTCCGGTAGATACAGGGGTGTGCCATACAAGGATAGACTCTGTAACTGTAGGCTAAAAAACTGTGAGCTAGCTCACACTAACTCAGCTTGGAGGGAACATTGGTGGTAAGATAGGGAGAGACCAACCAAGTGAGAGACATTTGTGCGTGCTGGGATGGGGGGAAAGTGGGTTTCAAGGAGGGGTTTTGAAGGAAAGGATTTATGCGCGGGATGGAGAGAGTCGAGAAAGAGAAATTTGTCTCCCTCTCTCAAAATACTAGAACTTGAAGGCATCCAATGAAGCTGATGGGCAGTAGGTTCAGGACGGACCAAAGGAAATACTTCTTTACACAGAGAGTGATTAAAATGTGGAATTCACTGCCAGAGGATATAGTGATGGCCACAGGAAGAAATAGGTTTAAAGGGGGATGAAATAGAATTATCAATCTATCAGTGGCTACTAGCCATGGTGGCTAAAAGGAGCCTCCACATTCAGAGGCAGTCAACCTCTGAATCTCAGAGCTGGGAGGCAACATCAATGCACACGATGTACCCCTTGAATAAAACTTTGTTGGTCTTAAAGGTCCCGCTGGACTCGAAGTTTGTTCTATCACAAAGCAGATTCAGGTGGGTAGCCATGTTGGTCTGAATCAACAGAACAAGGTTTGAGTCCAGTGTCACCCTTAAAACCAACACAGTTTTAATTCTGGGTATAATTCTGGGTGTCTGAAGAAGTGTGCTATCGCAAAGCAGGTGCTGCCACCATGTGGAAATGTTTGTGCATTGTTTTTGGTTGATTCCTGGCGAGGTTAGCATTTGTCTGACTGTACAGTTGAGAGCTTGGGATGGAAACCTGATAATGGGGAGGCACAGCCGCTGACTGCAAAAATTATGGAGAAAACGTGGGAGCGAGGGGGTCAAACAATGAGATCCCATGCTGGAATCCAGAGTTGAAAAACATCCTACTTGGCATTTTCCCAGATGACTATCAGCAAGTACAGTGGGAAGCAGAAACCGCAATGTTCCCTCTAAGCTGTGGAGTCTTGTGAGCAAAAATTCTGCTTTGTGAGCTACTGGCATTAAAGTTGTGAGCAAGCAATTTGGCTACTGCATCAATTAGTTTGCTCTGGAGCCGTCCTTCCTGAGCTAAGACAAAAATGTGTGAGCTGGAGGCTAAAAAACTGTGAGCTAGCTCACACTAACTCAGCTTAGAGGGAACACTGCATGGGGGAGGGGGGTCGAGTTTCATTTTTTAAAAGTACTGTAACCCTTGCCGTGGAATGGGCTAGGTAGATACAGCATGCAAAAGCAATCGAGGGTTGATTTCCTCTGCCTTGGGGGGGGGGAATCAACAACAGTTCTTAAGCATATGTATGAGTACAAGACAATGGACAAGATTTCAAAAATAAAATAATTAAATCCAAGGAAACAACAGTTGAGGGAAGGGAGTGACTAACTCCTAAAATACCATCGCCAGAAATTGTGGCTGCAACGTTGTTTCTGAGCAAAATTCAAACGGCTCGTTTTGACCTATAAAGCCGTAAACAACCTGATAGTGACGGATGGCATTCTACTCCAAGATCTACAGAGGCCTTGTTCTATGCACCAACATATTTACAGCTTCCATTTATTTCAGTATACTTCATAATAGAATTATGAATTATTTCACTGCAGTAATGAGAAATGAACTGAGCAGCCACTGTGGGTAAGCTGGAAAAAGAGGAAACAGTTGAAACGCCAGAGGTGCCCCCCCTACAGTCACAGAGTTGCACAAATCAAGGCAGTCGTCTCTATTGGCCAGTTCCAGCGCATGAAAACTTTTGTATTGCCTAAACAGATCCTGCAGAATTAAGAACATAAGAAAAGCCATGTTGGATCAGGCCAGTGGCCCATCCAGTCCATCGCTCTATATCATATAATAGCCCCTTCAAAAAAAAAAACACCACCACCCAGGTGCCGTCAGGAGGTCTTTCAGCAGAGGAAGACCTCCTGATAGCACCAGAGGATGTAACAATGGCTGCAGGAATACACAGCTTTAAAAGGGGGTTAGATAGATTCATGGAGGACAGGTCTGTCAGTGGCTACTAGCCATGGTGACTGAGGGGAACCTCCACATTCAGAGGCACTAAGCAATGTTCTCTCTAAGCTGCGGAGTCTTCTGAGCAAAAATTCTACTTGGTGAGCTACTGGCATTAAAGTTGTGAGCGAGCGATTTGGCTCCTGTATAAAATTAGGTTTTTTGCTCTGGAGCCATCTTTCCTGATCTAAGACAAAAACGTGTGATCCAGAGGCTAAAAAACTGTGAGCTGGCTCACACTAACTCAGCTTAGAGGGAACACTGGCACTAAGCCTCTGAATCCCAGAGCCAGGAGGCAACCTCAGGGGAAGGCCTCTGCCTCTGTGCCCTGTTGTTGGCCCTCCACAGGAACTGGTTGGCCACTGTGTGAGGCAGGATGCTGGACTGGATGGACCCCTGGTTTGATCCAGCAAGGCTCTTCTGTTCTTATGTTAAGTATCACTGGTGGGAAGCAAGAGAATCTTGAAAATAATCATTTAAAAAATCTGACTTGTAGCAACAGGGCTGTGAAAGTTGTGCTGAAATTGTCCATGCTCCATTTATTTAAAGGTAAAGGTAAAGGTTCCCTTGCTCGAAAGCCAGTCGAATCCGACTCTAGGGTTGCGGTGCTCATCTCCGTTTCAAAGCCAAAGAGCCATCGCTGTCCGAAGACGTTTCCGTGGTCATGTGGCCGGCATGACTAAACACCAAGGCGCACGGAACGCTGTTACCTTCCCACTGAAGTGGTACCTATTTAGTTACTTGCAATTTCTTGCTTTCGAACTGCTAGGTTGGCAGGAGCTGGAACTAGCGTTAAATGCCGGAAAGCTTTTGGATGTGAATGGCAGTTTAATTTACAGTTAATATGTGGCAAAATGCCTTGGGTCATTGAACCAAAACCTATTACGGCAAATGAGTCAGCAAGAGTCACAGTGTGGAGGGTTTCTAGGTTTTGGGGTTCCTCTCTTTCCTTTGAGGTTCTGCACTGTTTTAATAGAATCTTTAAGGACATAAGAAGAGCCCTGCTGGATCAGGCCAATGGCAATCTAGTCCAGCATCCTGTCTCACACAGTGTCCAACTAGTTCCTCTGGAGGGCCAACAACAGGGCACAGAGGCCGAGGCCTTCCCCTGAGGTTGCCTCCTGGCTCTGAGATTCAGAGGCGTAGTGCCTCTCAGTGTGGAGGTTCCCCTCAGTCACCTTGGCTAGTAGCCACTGACAGACCTGTCCTCCATGAATCTATCTAATTCCCCTTTAAAGCTTCTTATTCCTGTGACCATCACTACATCCTCTGGCAGCAAACTCCACATTTTAATCACTGTCTGTTTCTCATCTTTGTTTCTCATTTTCAAACATTTTACAGTATTTTAAATGTCCTGCTTCCTATGTAGATGGTAACATTTATTAATTGTCTGTTGGGTTCTAATTCTGCAACATTTTGACTTGATTTTCACTGATGAATTGTCAGCCACGTTTTTGGTGTTGAGAGGAGAGATATACCGTCAGGTCGCCTACTGACAGCAAATCAGCAGCTTGCTTTGATAAATCTTCTGCCGTCATTCCCTCCCCCCACACACACACACACAAACTTTAAATCTGGTTGCAGAAAGTAATCACAGAAGACGGCAAGGAGTACGCGTATGAGAAGCTTTGCCTGTGCGCTGGAGCCAAGCCGAAATTAATCACCGAAGGAAACCGTTTTGTGTTGGGCATTCGGGATACAGACAGTGCTACGGTAATCCCGTTTGCTTGTATTTATTAAAATTTTGTGTCCAGCCGGAGTAGGCATTGTCCAAAACAGCTATGAAACGTGGGCAGTGTTGGTGGTGGGAAGTGCAGTGAAGTCGCAGCTGCCTTATGGTGGCCCCAGGGCTATTTTTGGGCCGGAACAGAGTTCCGGCTGGTTCCTGAGTTGGCCACGCCCAGCAGGAACATATTAGCATAATAGGCCACACCCAAGAGCAGAAACTCATTAGGATTGGCTACATGAGGGGTGTGTGGCCTAACATGCAAAGGAGTTCCTGCTACAAAAAGGGCCTGGGATTTGGCAACAAACAAGGTAAACAGAATAAGAAGCAAAAGGTGGGTGTGGCTGGATGAGCACACTTCTGGTAACACATGGGGTGTGGCCTCATATGCTAATGACCTGTGCTGTCAGAGGTGTGGCCTAATATGCGAATGAGTTTCTGCTTTTGAGTGTGGCCAATTATGCTACTGAGTTCCTGCTGGGCTTTTTCTACAAAAAAAGCCCTGGGTGGCCCCGTAGGGTTTTCAAGGCAAGAGATGAACACAGGTGGTTTGCCATGGCCTGCCTCTGCGTAGCAACCCTGGACTTCCTCGGTGGCCTCCCATCCAAGTACTAGATAGGGCCGACTTTACTTAGCTTCTGCAACCTGATGAGATTGGGCTAGCCTGGGCCATCCAGGAAGTGGGACCATCGTGGTAAATATGGCATCAAGTTGCAGCCAACTTATGACAACCCCGCATGGTTGCCTGCCTCTGCGTACCAACTCCCTATTGGGTTAAATGGAGGTGGGGGAAATCATTTGCCATGGCAGCAGAGAAGCTTCACGCAGTATCCCCGATCCCCCACGTTTCCTGGTTAAGGGGAAAATGCTGCTCAGACAAGTTACAAAGGAGACATGACTCCGATGGTAGCAAGAGAAAGAAATCTTACTTCCAAAAACGGAAGCACCTCTTACATAATGTATTCATGTAGGTACGTTTATTGTTAACTTTAGGTTAATTTTAGAAAGGTTAACTTTACTACAGCTCCAAGCCCAGATAAGAGCGAGAAGACGGAGGTCGTATAGAAGATGGATCAGAAGGCCAGCAACAGACAAAGAGGCTCACGGCTAACCAATGAGAGGGTGGGGCCAAATGCCGAGAGTGAGAGTATTCTCTTAACCCCTTCCCTCCCAAATCCTCTCACATGCAGAGTTACAGTATCCAACACTTCCTTGGTCGTCTCCCATCCAAGTACTAACGAGGGCCAACCCCGTTTAGCTTCTGATCAGGGCAGGCAGTGTTACAATTTTGATCAGGGCGGGCTAGATCAGACTATCTTGGGCCATCCAGATGAGGGAAGGCAGTGTTACAATTATTTGCCGCTGAGATGTCAGACCTGGGCCTTTCTGCAGGTTTTACATGACGGCAATACGGGGAAAATGAAAAAAAGGAGAAGAGAAAGATGCAAAAGGGAAAAAAGATTTCACACACCCTCGTAAACTA